CATGGCATCATCCCTGTGTTGAAGTTTCCAGCATTGATCTCTCTTGTGCCCAGGTTTGTTACGGTGCCAGAAAAGTCCTTCAAATTTCTCTGAAAGCTGACCTGTTCTGACCTTGAATTCTGATGACTGTACCAACATTGGTACCTCTGTGCTAGACTTAACATATGATTCGAATTCCAGAGCTCTGGCCATTGCATCTTGCATAGTAGAGGGGTTTGCTTGCTTTACTTGTATCATCAGTTGTGGACTGTCCAAGGCATCTACAAACTGATCCCTCAGCAACAACTTGAGGACATCGGGTGGCACAGTTGGGTAGGCCTTGTGTGCCATACTTTCCAAATCCTGTGCCAGCTTTTGCAGGCTCTCCCCTTTAGCATGGACTCTCGTCCTAAACCTAGCCCTGTAAACTTCAGAATGATTTTGAGTTCCATACCTGAGCTCCAGAGCAGCTACCAGTGCTCTGTAGTTGTGCCTGTCGTCTGCTGACAACTGTCCAAGTATTTCCAGTGGTTGTCCCTTCAAGCTCGTTGCCAGATATACTGCTTTCTGCTCCTCTGTACATCCGTTCATCTCTGCCAGGAGCTCAAATTGTGCTATATGCTTCCCATCGAATTCCTGTGGCTTCCTTCATACTAGATTACCCCTATTGCTGACATTCATATCTGGGATGTGACTTCTAGCAGGACTGAAAATGTCTGCATTAGGGTTTAGCTATGGGGTCTGGAAGGGGCTTGCCATTGTCTGGGGCTGACTAAGTCGATGGTTAATGTATCCTCCTTGTGTAAAAGACAATAAATCATCCTTTAATGTATTTAATTCGCTTTGAAATTTACTAATATTTTCCATTTGTGTACTCTGGCTTTCTCTTAATTGTTGGAGACATTCTTCTTGTTTATTTTCTTTCTCCTCCATCCACTGCTGTAGTCTCTCTTGTTCATTTTCTTTCTCCTCCAACCACTGTTGTAGTCTTTCTTCTTGTTTATTTTCTCCTTCTTCTTGTTTCTTTTCTTTCTCCTCCAACCACTGCTGTAGTCTCTTTTCTTGTTTATTTTCTTTTTCCTCCAACAAATGCTGTAATCTCTCTTCTTGTTTCTTTTCTTGTTCTTCATGTTTCTTTCCTTTTTCCTTCAACCACTGCTGTTGTCTCTTTTCTTGTTTATTTTCTTTCTCCTCCAACCACTGCTGTAGCCTCTCTTCTTGTTTCTTTTCTCGTTCTTCTTGTTTCTTTTCTTTTTCCTCCAACAACTGCTGTAATCTCTCTTGGTTATTTTGTTGTTCGAGCTGCTACTGTTGCAGGTTTTCTTGCCACTGCTGTTGCCTCTCTAATTGTTTCTTGTCTTTTTCCTCCATCAACTGCTGTAATCTCTCTTCTTGTTTCTTTTCTTTTTCCTCCAACAACTGCTGTAATATTTCTTCTTGTTTCTTTTCTCGTTCTTCTTGTTTATTTTCTTGTTCTTCTTGTTTCTTTGCTGTTCTTGTATTGCTGCCATCAAATCTGCTAAGCTGTAGTTTGATTTGCCACCTTCCGTAGAAATTATTTCCGAAAAACTTCAGTGATACAAGTCCTTTCTTAAATAAAACTAGTTTATTCTTTCTCAATACAACTTTGCAACACACTTAATTTCCAGTCACTTTAACTTAAGCACACGCTATAATTCATAACAATTCACGCCATTTACTTATGGTCACTACCGCGCTTGACACAATTGTCCGTCTCTATCTCTGCCTGTCTGCAATTCAATTAATTATCTTGCTTTATTTGCCTGCTTATTTACTAAAATAGAGGGCATCTAGCAAATACTGGATTATTCGTGATGTTCCCCGATCTTAGAAACTCATCACGTGTTACCAGCTTCACGTGACTTCCACTGTCGTAACAATATTGAGATGGTCTTGGACCCACCCCTACTCCCTCTAGCTATGTCCCTGTATTCAAGTTCACAAAAATTTTAACTTTGTATCTTGATCTCTATCTTTAAACACTGCTGTTGATCCAATCAGAACTAACATGACAGCAAAAGACTGCTATGCATAAATATAGTGTTGTTTAATTTTTGTTTTATGACTAGAGTAATATTTTTTAAATTTCACACATTAGTCCTATTAAATACAAAAATTATTAACTCCTTCAATACTTTGTATCAATAGCACAAGAAATAAATAATTCTAAATGGCTAACTACTAAAGAAAATTAACAAATACATATTTCTTGAAGTATGCTGCCTACTTCATAAAAACTACCATTAAGGGGTCCAAGTAATAGAACACACATAAATAATGGAATAGGATCCATAAACTGTTTGCAAACTTATGTACAAAGATGTGAAAAAATGAGATACTCTTTATGCTAAATGCTATGTTTTAAGTTATTCAATCAAAAACTTCTAGTTATATTGATGGAAAGGGTATTTATATAACATCAAATAAATGTTCACTACTTTTCTTCAGAACATAAAACTTCTGAAAATTCCTATGCACAACTATCTAAGCTTGTAAAAACATGTTTTTAGTAGTGTAACTAACTTTATTTTAAGTTAAGATTTGGCTGTAACTCATGGTGCAAGATCTTATTTCGTTTTATATTTTAACTTTGGGTTTGTTTTCATTTTAGATTTTATAGTTTTTATTTATGTTTAAGAGAAGATGGGATACAATGGACTTATGAGAGAGAGCTCATTAAGGTTTCATTTCCCTTCTCTCTCTCTTG